CCCCTCACCACACCACGTGGTCCAGCACCCCCTCACCACACCACGTGGTCCAGCACCCCCTCACCACATCGCAAAGAAGACCGCAGTCCCTCCGATCACAGAGACGCTCACGGCGATGCACGCAGCTGAGATGACACGCATCAGGGCAGGACGGCTCAGCATGAGGCCTGATGGAGAGACAGGAGGTCTCATTACGTGGCGTTTCAGCACACTCGTCGACTGTTGTGAATCACTGTTGTTCCCACAAAGGCACCAGAGGCAAGGAAAAAAGAGGTAGAAACCAGGACTTCTAAATAATTCTTGAAAAACCCGAACACCTGAGGCAAACTTTCAGTCTGTGTGAACAAATACAGCTTGAAAGCCTACTTTCTCCATAATTTCCTTTTCTCCCCCTGCTCCTGTCTTTGAACACAGCTGTTGGGAGGTCTGGAGCCTTGAGTCACTACCGTAATACGTGTTAAAAAGAGCCCGTGCACACCCATGTTAATTAAAGCTTGGTTCACAATAGCAGAGTTAGAAACAACCCAAGCACCCATCAACAAACGAATGGATAGAGAAGCTCTGCTATATTCACATGATGAAGTAAATACTATGCTGCGTTGAAAATCAAGAAAAATGAAAATATTATACAAAATGGGTGGCCTTGGAGGACATTATGCTGAGTGAAATATCTCAGTCACAAAAGGACAAATACTGCATAGTGCCACTGTTGTAAAGTGGGACTGACATTAGGGTTGGGGGAAGACTGAGAAAGATGGGCTAAACTATGTATACTGCATTGAAACAGATTAAGGAAAGAACTGTCTAAAAGGGATATGTGATTAGATATTATTGTCATGACAGCAGTCCGGAACAAAGGCTGCACAGTGGAGTGGACTTGGGGGGAGAGGTTGTATAACAATGAAAGAATTTTTCTTTTACTTTTCAAAGAGAAGAGTGAACTGGAGAGGAGGGGTGGGAAGGGAGAAAAGTGCAACAATGAATGAATGGAAATCCAAAGTCTCTGTAAACTTTAATTAAATTTAATAATTTTTTTAAAAAGGAAGAGATGTGTTGGGAAAATCTGCTGTCAGGGAGTCTCTAAAGTGCTTAAAAAGCAATTAAGTCAGTTATAAACTAAGGTGCACCTAGTCAAACCCATGATTTCAATGACTTGCTATGCATGCATCTGCAAGTTGGACAATGAAGTAGCAGAACTGATGCTTTTAAACTGTAGTGCTGGAGAAGAATACCAAATACCCCACGGGCTACCAAGAGAACAAAAGGTACGCCTGGGAGAGTGTGCAAACGAAGTGCTCGTTGGAGGCAAGGATGGTGAAGTTTGCCTCACGGACTTCGGGCATGTTGTTCCGAGGGGCTATTTCCCAGACAGGGACTCGTGGTTGGAAAACTAGAGAGTCAGTGTGAGAGAGGAAGACTCTTGACTAGGTAAATGGGCACAGTGATTGTGACAATGACCTTGAGTCTATCGACACAGGGAGGATGGCACAGGGCAGGGAAGTCTCAGATCTGTGTGGAGGGTCTTTGTGCACCGTCGTGGACTCAACAGCACCTAACAGCAAGCGTAACGTAATGCGTAACATGCCTGGCTGCCAACCAAAAGGTCACAGTGCCCACTGGCCAGCTGCTTCGTGGCAGAGAGATGGGCAGTCCCCTCCTGTCAGGATCTGCAGCCTCAGAAGTCAGAGGACCACTGTGAGTTGGAATCACGTGCACAGCAGTGGGTGCAGTGGGAGGCACCCCCAAAACAAATAAACAGGAAAAAAAGCCCAGCCATTTCAGGAGATTCCAACCTTTGTCCCAGCTGTCCGATCTCAAGTCTGCAAAATGTGCTGTAAAAATACGGTTCTTCTTTACTGACTCAGGTCTGATCTCCTCGATATTTTCTGAAATTTAAGGGGGTGGAGGAAATAGAGTGATTGTTTTTACCAAGTTAGCAAAAGATCAACAGGCAAAGTGTCTTTACGACTCAGCTTCTTTTAAATCTGATGTACACAGGCGGTTCTCTGGGCCTGACTCCGCCTCCTCTTGCTGTCTGCCCTCTTCATTGATACTTAAAGAAAGAGATACCATCTACAGAGCTGAAAATACTCCAGGACGTATCCTGTCTAATAAAGCTCTCTTTACTCTCACCCCAGGGAGCTCTGGTGGCCTCATGGTGAGAACTGCACTGTCAACCCAGAGGCACACGGTTCAAACCCGCCCTCTGCTCTGCTGGATGGGCCATCTCCTCCTGTGCTATTCACTGCCTCAGAAAACCCACTAGAGGGTCAGCTCTGGGTCTCTCCTGACTCGACGGTGCTTAAAAACAACTCTCACCTAAAAAAAAAAAGAAAATAAGGGACCACAGACTAGAATTCTCATTTCCTTGAAAAGGAATCAGACCTGTGTGTTTTGAAGGCTTAGTCTGACTCAAAGACGCTCCCGTTCCATACAGTACGTCATTGGTGGCATTTTTGGATATCTGTGATGATATATTGCCTTGAAAAGAAAATTGTACTAATAAACTGTGATTTCTTCCTAGGACCAACTTTTCATTCCTCCCCTAGCCAGCTGCAGCCCGCCTGGGAAGCTAAATCCTTGTCCCACTGGTTTGAACTCACCAGCGACTGGCAAGCATGAAATAAGCGAGCATTCCAATAACAACAGAAGCAAAAAGCTAACAGGATTCTGAACTCTCTCCATTCTCACCACAGGAGCAAAGATGAAGTCTGGAGCCGCAGTCTTGATATCGGCCCCACGTTCATCTGAGGAACCTCTGCACCCTGCGGAATGTTTGGGTGTCACAAGGAACCACCACTGTGACGTCAGCTCACGTTGTCATGATGGAATTTCTTCCCAGAATCCAGCAGCCAAAGGGGAGACTAGCCGAATAGGGGAGCCTGCCTGGATGGAGGTGAGGCTGGCGAGTGCAGAGAGGTCCCTGTGCTTGTCAAGTGTAGGAGAGAAGGCAGAGGGAGGAGACGTTTGTGAAGAGACATCAAGACAGGAAAAAAAAATAGCAAAGACAGCAGACAGGATGCGGAATTGTGCCCTAGCCAAAAGGAACAGCTCCTGATTTTGACCTTTCATACCTCAACTGTTTGAGCTTGATCAAGTTACAAAATTCCCAACTCATTGTAAGCAATTGTCATTATATGTTTTCAAGTTGGAACCAACGTACAGGTGACTCTCTAGCTGTATTTAATTACACAGCATTGATTGCCCAGGTGGACGGACATAGTGACTGCTGCCAGGGACTCTTGTGTGTCAGGAATTGTGAGGATGGCGCAGGATAGGACAGGGTTCAGATCTTCTCATAGGGTCCTTCTGAGTCATACCGGTCTCCACGGCACCTAACAGCAACAATGTAAAACTTGATTGGTATGAAGTCATTTCAACTCAACTCATTGTCTTGGAGTCTAACCTGACTCGTAGCTGACGCTTTAGCAACTTTTCCGATCCTTTACTTACAGGATATACGTGGCCTGTTGGGTAAAGAGTTGTTCTGCCAAGGTAAAGGCAAGCTGTCAAAATCCACCAGCTATCAGCTCTAAAAGAGCACTCAAGAGTCAGCTGTCAGTCAACGCCAACCCAACGCCAATGAGGTAAGTTGTTCTTTTTTTTAATTGCAAAGGAGGAGATTTGCTTTCTTTCTCCTCCAGAGCACACAGTGGATTCAGAAGACGCTCTGAAATGAGGGAGATCACTGCCACTGCCAGACTGAAGGCAGCAAATACAAGAAGGATGTCCCTTGTTTAAATGGCTGCATGAGGGCACTTAACTGTATGGATCATAATAAATAACTGATCAAATTAAAAAGAATGTGAATGCTAAAACTGCATTCATGCAGAATCTGGACATAGACCAAGAAGCAGTCCTTCCAACATGATAAGGTAAATGACAGGTTTAAAAATCAGCAAAGGTGTGCCTCTCTGGGTGGTATCACTCCTGTATAATCCATATATTGATCAAATAATTTGAGAACTTGGACTAGATGACAAGTAATGGGGCAGGAGGATTAAGGGAAGACTCGTCAACATCTGTTAACACAATGACGACAAGTTCCTCTTTGATGAAAGTGAAGTGAATTTGAAGCACTTACCAAATAAAGAACATCAAAAACTATAGTCTTCAGTAAGAATTATACCTCATCGACTACACAACAAGATAAAGGGAAAAAACCCAATTGCAAAGTGGGCACAGTATATGAACAGACACTTGACCAAAAAAGACATTCAGATGGCCAAAAAAAACCTGAAAAATGTTCAAAATCCCAAGCTCGAAGAGAAATACAAATCAAAACAACTATGAGATACCATTTCATTCCAGTAAGAATAGCAAAATTCAACAGAGCAGCAAACAACAAATGCTGGCGAGGTTGTGGAGAAACTAGGACCCTTATTCTCTGTTGGTGGGAGTGTAAAATGGTGCAACCACTGTGGAAGGCAGTATGGCGCTTTCTCAAAAAGTTGGAAATAGAAATACCATTTGACCCAGCAATTCCACTACTGAGAATATATCCTAAAGAGATCATAACTGTCATCCAAGCAGATATATGCACACTCATGTTTATTGCGGCTTTATTCACAATACCAAAGGGCTGGAAACAACCCAGGTGCCCATCAACAAACGAATGGATAGAGAATGGATATTCACACAATGGAATACTACGCTGCATTGAAAAACAAGGAACTCATGCAATATTATACACAATGGGTGACCTGGAGGACATTATGCTGAGTGAAATATCTCATTCTCCAAAGAGAACGACTTTGAGGGCTTTAAGGGATACCTGTGGTGTGTTCAATACTTCATACTTTACAAACTCAGCAAAAGAGGAACTGGCAGAAGTGGGCCCTTTGTCAGTTTTTATGGCTTGCGGAAGGCCCGTGACTGCAAAATATTGAAGGCAAATGACTTACCAGGGTTTGTTTGGTTTCTTTTATACTCTCCAGTTTGTACAGTGGCCCCCATGAATTTAGAATACATGTCCACAGAAACAAAAGGAAAGATAGGAAATATCTTTTTGAATTAGGGGAAATATCAGGTAAGGGAATGAAACAAGGAGTAAAGGGGGGTGCGGGATCAGAGGAAGAGATTACCACAGCTAAAACAGGGAGCAAGATCGAGAACAGCTGTCCAGAAAGAGGACGCCTGAGATTGGGTTAGCTTGAGATCCCTCTTTTCTAGGACTGACTTCAGACACTTGATCTGAGGGTCTTGCAAAGTACCAGCTGTATCGCCCAAATACTTACGCCTACACCAAGTCCCTGCTGGGGCACCAGATGCGGCTACCATCTGAGCCACAGTGAAGAAGACAGCCTGCTGACGAGGGTGGGTGTGACGACAGAGAAAAAGCACGCCGGGAGCACGCACGTCAGAGGGCCAACTCGAGTTTATTAGAGGGACAGCACGACTTGGACTTTTAGTCACATGTGGGCACATTACCAGTAAGCACACACACATCACAGAAGTCACCTCCAGCCTCTGGAGGGGCCATCCTGGTGGACACACAGCTTGTCTGTCAGGTGTACCATTAGGAAGTGTGCTTCGCTCGCTTATGTGAGCACAACAGGCCACCCCCCAGCCAAGGCTATCACCGAGTCCATCTCCTCCTTGTGCGTGTTCACCCACAAGCGTGCAAACTGTGCAGTTACTGGGGAACACACGGGCCCTGGCACACACCTTCACAGGATTCACTGGGGGCTGGTTTTGCAATGCTTTCTTTGATGGCGCTTGAACGTTCCCAGCTGACGGAAGGTATGCTGACACACAGAACAGGTGTAAGGCTTTGCCCCACGGTGGATTCGCCGGTGCACATTGAGGTTACCCTTGTGGCTGAACTTTTTTTCACACACTGGGCACTCAAAATGGCCTCTCTTGTGTGTGGATCCTTTGGTGGCCCTGCAGGGCAGAGTCGCGGGTGAAACTTCGCTGGCAGATCGGACACTTGTAAGGCCTCTCTCCCATATGGATTCTCTCGTGGACTCGAACATCTGAGGGCTGCATGAAGCTTTTCTCAAAAGAGACGCACTTATAAGGCCTCTCCCCTCTGTGGGTCCTCCGGTGGATTTCAAACTGAGATTTATTACGAAATTCTTTCCCACAATATGAACAGGGAAACGTCTTTTCCATGGACTTTTGGTTCTTAGCTGGCACAGACTTATCTGGTCCCACAGCACTCTGAAGGTTAGGGTCTGTCACCTCTCTGCTACATTCCCTTAAATTGGTCTGCAGCTCTGCCTCCAATCTCCGATTCTCCAGCTCAGCGTTAACTGAAACGATCTCGTCCTTTTCTGCCATCAAGTCGTCTTCCTTGGAATTCTGATTCTCCAGCTCTCTAGTTTTTTGGATCTCCATCAGGCTGTCTTCCAGGTCTCTCTCAGCTCTCTTGTTCTCTAACTCACCATTTCCAAAAATGGCCTCTTCTTGGACTTCCATCAAGTTGTCCTCATATCCCAGAATCTCCAGATCAGTGTCTACAGAAATGGTCTCTGGAGGATCTTTCTGCCCCTGTGAAGTGGCAACCAATGTCATGAATATTATGTCAATTAAAGACACATTAAAATGAAAACTTCCTATCCACCCATCTCCTCATTGTGACTACATATTTCCCAAGCCCTATGTGAGGACGACCTCACCCTCTCCAATAAGGGTCAGTGCCTAATTGCCAAGCCTTCCGTTAGTCTATACCCTTCACTATCTGAATCCCAATCTTAGATATTCTTATCTTTCTAAATATTGAGGAATATATTTAGTGACTAAAAACTGAAGTCGCTGATACACTTTGGCTGTTTCAATCCTGAAGGAGAAAATTACTGGCATGCTGCTCGCGCGGGATACAGCCTGGAAAGCTCTACTCTGGCCTCAGTCACTGTGAGGAGGGATTTATTTAAACAGCACCAAGCACCACAGCAACCTGGGAGTTAAGGATGCTGATGGTGGGGGGCGTAGAGAGGGAGGCAGAGTTAGAGTTTCCATTCTCCCCAACACTCAGAAATACTCAGGAAATAATGCATCCATGGCCGTCACTGAGGACAATGACTAAACCCTGTTCTTTGTTCTCTAAAAAAAAGGGGGGGGTTATGTAGGGCAAGGTCCAATGGTGATTCATTTCATAAAATACACGCGGAAATGACTGTTGTGAAACAGTGTGAATGAAGACGACTGTGAAACACAATATGAACTCATGGATCAAATTCAGATTTTTTTTTATTATTTTATCTGTCAAATTGGATCTGGCTGGTACAGAAGGAGATCGCCCTTCCTTCTCTAGCAGAGGATCTGGTGGATTTGAACCGCACATCTCTGGGAGTGCAGTGCAGCTTCTTGCCACTAGGCCACCAGGGCGCCTGGAACTCACACTTTCTAAAGCCAGGGTGACAGCACGAATCCTTGAAATGATTACTTTGAGTTAATCTTTAAATCTTATGCAAAAATGTCCTGAGGTTTTCCTATCATGAGACAAACATTTGGATTGTTGTTGTTGATTGCCTTTGAGTCGAGTCCGACTCAAAGTGACCCTGTGAACAAAAGGCCTGAAGCCCGTCTACAACTATTGACATTTATCCAAGTTCATAGAGTTTTCAGAGGCATGTTATTTAAGAAGTGGATGCCACTCCTGCTTCCAAACCTGTCATAGAACGTTACTGAGTCGCCTGTGATGCACAGCAGCTCCGAACCCTTCCCTGTCCTGAGCTAGTCTCACTACTTCTGACACACCAAACTCCATTGTCCCAGTTCAAGCCATCTCATCTGTTAGTCTACTCTAAGTGTGCTTTGCTATACATAGGGTTCTCAAAGGCCAGTTACATTTCAGGAGTGGACGGCCAATCCCTCTTCCTAGTCTGTCTTAATTTGGATGGTCACTGTTAGAAGACAATCTGACAGACAAGTATTTTTACCTAGCAAGTGAAAGATACTTAACATTTGGATAGTTAGAACTGTAGAGCTGTGTGGAGGGGTTAGTGTGCAATTCATTAGGTTGCAATGGGAATGTTCACCTTTTTGAACACAACAGCAGCTCGGCACAAGACCGGGGAGCAGGGTCACGATCCTCGAGCACGGAGAGGAGGCCCCACTGCAGGTGATAGTGTAGACTGGACAGAATCAAACTGGCAAAAGCCGCATGAAAGGTTGAACAGGAACCTGGGAGACCGTGAGCTTATTAAGGGGGAGGGACAATTCTGAAAACCCAGAGGCAAACTGTCCATGCAGAAACCTGAATGTGTACGTTTCTGCTCCATGTCCCACCAAAACCAACAGAAAACCACTCAATGCATTACTGGAGTTTATTCTTGGCTCACAGACCCTGGGTCTCTGACTGCATCTGACTGGAACTCTAGGCCTTTCCTGCCAGACACTATTCTAGAACTGTCATTGGACATACGATGCCAACCAAAGTCCACTGAATGTCTCAGACACTGTTCCTTAGCCACTAGTCAGAAGACGGGAGGTTCAAATCCACCCAGCCACGTCAGGGAAGAGGCTCAGAATCTCCTTCCACAAATATGAAAACCCTGAAGTATTTCTGTGGGGTACATGGAATCACCTGCATCGGGATTCAACTCCTGACTTCCCTTCCTCCAGCAACGGAACTTCTGGAGTCCACCTGAACGCATTTTACTTTCTCACTGACCACAAAGAACTAGACCCACGGCCATCAGGTAGCTCCCAGCTGGGGGCGGGCCTGCACCAGTCTTCTCTCCCGTGGGGGAAGCCTGGAGCGGACGCGCCCACCTCTGCCCTAGCAGCCCGGCACACAAGGTGCCTTGGGAGGCTCATCCATTTAGGTCTAGCATGTCCCCTTGACTTTGACGCTGCCTGGCTTCCCTTTGCCCATCCATCACCAGACTGTTTCCCCAGCCCGAGCACTGCTGATTAGTTCAGTAGATCATTCTCCGGGGTGGACAGAGTGCTCACGCACCGCAGACCGTCAAGCAGCATCACTGGCCTCCAGCCGCTAGAAGTCAGAAATCGCCACGCGATCACTAGATGTGCCCTCCCACATCTGTCCAGTGGCCCCTGGGGCCGGCATCTCCCTGGCTGTAAAACCAGCCCGTCCCCAGGAAGAAATGCATCATGTTCTTTCCAAAAGACAGATGTGCTGGTTCAGTGGCAACGCATGTGGTTGCTACTAGAAAGGTTGGAGGTTCAATCCCACCAACCACTTCACAGGCAGAGGAAGAGGGCACTGTGGTTTTGTCAACCCCACTGAGGGGCTGTCCTTTGCAGCTGACCACGTAGAGTGCACTCCCCCCTTGAATCCCTTACTTCCCACTCCCAGTTATCTAACTGATCGCAAAGTTCTACGTACCCACGGCATGCTGTGCTTGGGATGGCTGAGAAGCGCCTTCAGCTCTCTGTAGCTCTGCACGCCACTCTCCATGACCAAGGTCTGGATGTCCAGTGGCGCAGAAACCAGGAAGTTGGCTATCACCATCTTGTCTACGATCTGTGGCTTGACACGAAGGTCCATGCCCAGCCATACACTGTACAGACTGTAAAGCATGTCCAGTCTCCTCACAAGGTCACTCACCCTCCGGATCTCAGATTCTCTCAACCTGACCTGTTTGGGATCGAACTTGTTCTGTTGCCCTCGAGGTCCACTCTCTTGTGGATACACAGTCTGTGGACATTCCAATCTGAGGCTGTCGGCATGTCTTCTGTGGTGCCGTGAGGACCTCAGGTCGATGGGCTCGCTTTGTAGGAAATTTTCCATTATGACTGAGTGAGTTCTCCAAGAAGCCAGTCAGTATCTGAAGGCGTCTAGTTGGGTGTTGTTTTGAGGTTTTTCACGACTAAGTTCACAGCTGGGTGCAGACGTCTGAGGGAGAGGGGGTGGGGGGAAAGATGAGTCTTATCAACCTGACTCTATTTTACTTTCTAGTGCCCTTCTAAGTTTCCCGCTATATATCAGACCACATTCTTCACCGGTACAGTCTTCAGTGCAGAGAAACTTAATCTAGGCTACCACCCTTCCAAAGAGCACTCATGCTACAAGCTGGCCAGGGACGAAGCCAAATGAACACAGAAAAGGGCAAGTCACTAACACGCAGCTCCGGCCAAACTGGGTATTGGCTGAAAAAAATGGAATGAGATCCACACTTTACAGCACATAGAAAAACTAAACCAAGAGAACTCAAGGATCAAGCAATGAACCCAGAAACTAGAAAGGTTACCAAAGGAAAAATGGGGGAAACTTTGAAGCGCTTTCTATCTATGGTATAAATAGACTATCAAATGTAATCAGCAGAGGAATAACTAGATGATTTGTACCTTCTTTTTTTATTTTTTTAAATTTGTACCTTCTAAAAATCAAATTCCTGTGCACCTCTGAAAGACTTCCCCAAAAGAATAAAAAGAGAACCTACACATGTCTATCTGTGTTTCATTGACTATGAAAAGGCATTTGACTGTGTAGATCATAACAAACTATGGCTGACTCTGAGAAGAATGGGAATCCCAGAACACTTGATCGTGCTAATGCGAAACTTAT